TCTATCTATCTATCTATCTATCTATCTATCTATCTATCTATCTATCTCAAGTAGAGTTTTTGGTGGGGAGATCCCTGCTTTCACCCCACCCAGACCCAGACCCTGAGCCTGGACCAGGGCTGCCTTAATGCATGGGCCTGATGGGCACTTGCCCATGAGCCCTACAAGCATAAGGGCCCCATACTAATCGGTGTGTGTTAACCCTTCAGTGCACCTTGTATCATATAGAATAGAATAGAATAGAATAGAATAGAATAGAATAGAATAGAATAGAATAGGAGACAATAGAATAGAATAGAATGGAATGGAATAATAAGTAGAATAGAACAGAACAGAACAAATAGAGTAAGGTAGAGTAGAGTAGAGTAGAGTAGAGTAGAATAGAATAGAATAGAATAGAAGAGAAGAGAAGAGAAGAGAAGAATCAGAATATAAGAATAGAGTAGAGTAGAGTAGAGTAGAGTAGAGTAGAGTAGAGTAGAGTAGAGTAGAGTAGAAGAATAAGAATAGAATAGAATAGAACAGAACAGGAACAGAATAGAATAGAACAGGAACAGAATAGAACAAATAGAATAGAATAGAACGAATAGAAGAATAAGAATAGAATAGAATAGAATAGAATAGAATAGAATAGAATAGAATAGAATAGAATAATAGAGTAGAATAGAATGAATAGAATGAATAGAAGAATAAGAATAGAATAGAATAGAATAATAGAGTAGAATAGAATAGAACAAATAGAATAGAACGAATAGAGTAGAATAGAATAGAATAGAATTCTTTATTGGCCAAGTGTGATTGGACACACAAGGAATTTGTCTTTGGTGCAAATGCTCTCAGTGTACATAAGAAAAAATAAAATACATTCATCAAGAATCATAAGCTACAACACTGACTGATAGTCATAGGTTACTAATAAGCAGTCAAAATCTGTGGTGGGATTCAAATTTTTTTACTACCGGCTCTGTGGGCGTGGCTTGGTGGGCGTGGCAGGGGAAGGATACTGAAAAATCTCCAGTCAGAGGTGGGATTGGCCGCTTCTCCAAACTACTCAAAATTTCTGCTACCGGTTCTCCAAATCTGGTCAGAACCTGCTGAATCCCACCTCTGAGTCAAATCATACTATGGAACAAATAAAACAATATAAATTGTAAAGATACAAGCAAAACGGTTATAGTTATAAGTTGGAAGAGATAGGTAATAGGATGAGAAGAATAATAGTAATATAGTCTTACTAAATACTTTGACAGTGTTATGGGAATTAGTAAATACATATAAATGCAGAAACGTATTTATTACACATTTATTTGTTTGAAGTGCCAATAAAAATAAACATATGTTTAATTTTATCGACTCTGCATTTTTATTCCGGTGAGTTGTCGTAGGGGACATTGCTTTGCCCAGGCGCCATAATGCCGTTAAGACAGCCCTATGCAAAATTTTGGAAAAATGAAAATATTCCCCCAGATGAGGAGATAATCAGAAACATCCCAGAATGTGCTGAGATGGACAATTTAACTTTAAAAAGAAAAGAAAAAGAAGACTCAGAATACTATTTGATATGGAATAGATTTTATAAGTGGCTTAAAACAAGGGGTAGAAGTTAAGGAGAAGAAAAATGATGAAGGTTCTTATTAAAAACAGGGAAGATATAGAACTACAACTGTTATAAATATTAAAAAATATGAATGAGTTAAATACAAAGAATGAGAACTGTATTTTATGGGAATTGTAGTATTACTAGAGATGTTAACTTAGGTGTTATTATGAGTATTATTATTATTAGTAAATGGACAATATTTTTTACAGTATTAGCTTTCTTTCTCTCTCTCTCTCTCTCTCTCCTTTCCTTCTTTCTTTCTTTCTTTCTTACTTGTAAATAATATATCCGGACAAAACATTTTATTCAAAAAATGTTTACGAATAAACTAAACTAAAAACAAAAGACGGCCCTGAGCGGCTTTTTTCTTTGTCTGGAGGAGGAAAACCTGCCCCGGGCGGCCCGAGTGGCGCTTGCCGGCTCCGCTGCACGCATCTGCCAAAGGAAAGGCGAGCCAGATGTGGGCGCATCTGCAGCCGGACACCTGGGAACCCCTCCAGCAACCTGCTCGGATCCGCCTGCTTTTTTTTCCGCGCTGGTGCAGCCCACCCTCACGGGGAGGGGGGGAGGGGCCGTCCGGGGTGCCCCCCTCGGAGCGGCCCCTCCCCTCGCCCGTGACGTCAGCCGCCGGGCTCCAGCTCCCCGGCTTCTTGGCCGCAGTCGGAGTCCGGGCACGTTGCGGGCAACCATGAGCTGCGGACGGCTGAGCTCCCTGGCGTTGCTGGGCTGCCTCCTGCTCGCCAGCTCCTGCGGCAGAGGTGAGTAGGGGGCGCTCCGGGCTGGAAGGGGAGGGTCTTCTTGCCCCCAGACCCAAGGCGCGGTCCAACCTCTGGTAGCTTCCCCGGGGTTGCAACCAGCTTGGATTGCCCGGCGCAGCGCGCGTCTGGCGCTCTCCAACCCCGGCGTTGCTTTTTTACTCCGGCGTTGTGTGGGGGGGCGGCTCTCGGAGCCCCTCCGGTTCCAAGCGAGCCCGGGAAGGTGCCTGCATGCTCAGGAGGTGCCCAGCCCTGGAGGTGCCTGCATGAGAAGGGGGTGCCCGGCTTGCCCGTCCGGGGGAAGCTTTCGGCTAGGCAGGGCGCGCGAGTCCCCACCCGGTGCCGGAGAAAAAGCGAGGCGCGCCTTTCGCGCTCTCCGGCTAGCCCCGTTGGAGAGAACACACCCACCTTTCTCCTTCCCTCCGCCTCTACTCTACTCTACTCTACTCTACTCCAGGGTGCAGCAGCTGCTACAAGCGCTTTGCAACTAGTGGAGGGAAAAGGGGGCGGGGTGCGCGGAGGTGAAGAAAAGGCAAGGCACAAAAGCACCGAGGTTGGGGAGCCGAGGGCGTTGGGGAGGGAGGTGGCGAGGGCTGGAAGGCTCAGGGGATCCTCCCCAAACGCAGCCCCTGCAAGACCCCCGTCCGTCTGTCCTCTCTCTGCTCCCCCCCCATCCACCCCGCTTTGATTTACGACCCCCAGTTGGGCGTGCATTCATCGGGCACCGCCTGTTCTGGTGGGGGGGAAATGCGGCGGGCGGGCGAGGGAGAAAGGGATCGGGTTCCTCGCCCCCTCCCCAGGTATTAGGAAGGGGATTCCCTAGGACGACCCCCTGGCGTCGCCCCCACCCCGCTTCCCAGGCGCGGAGACCGAGGAGGAGGGGGCGAGGCGGGGAGGAGGCGGGTCCGTCTTTGCTGCAGTCTCGTTCGTTGTTTTTTTTGCAAAGCGTGCTCAGGGCAAAGCCCTTCGGGACCCCTCCCACAAAAGAGCCTGCTGTTGCCCAGCGCCACGTCTGGAACTGGCTGAGGTTAATGAGCTTTGTAGTCCTACCCCGTTGAGCAGGAACCCAGCTGAGCCGGACGGTGCCCGGGCATTGCCCGAGACTCGCTTCCAAACCGCGTTGAGCCCAAGGCGTGGAAAAGCCTCCAACCGACCCAGCCCTTATTCCTTCTTTGCGGGGAGCGGGGGGGGGGGGCAATGCAGCGTCCTTCCCGGGGTTCCGTGGGGTTCAAGCCGCCCCCCCCTCCCCACGCCCCCTTTTCTCGTTGCAAATGCGGTTGCCTCGGAAAGGGTGGAGCCCAGCCCGGCACCAGCTGCTCCGCAGGCAAAAGATCCGGCTGGTTTCTGGACAGTGGGGAAAGCCCCCCTCCCCAGCTTCTCGGTTCGGTAACCTTTGCTAAACCTCCTTTATTGCATCCCAGAGGCAGAACGAGGCGGTTTCTTCCCCCAGCGGGACAAGCCCAGAGCTGCCTTGGCGGCTTAGAAGGAGGGATTGTGGCTGGTGCAAGCCAGCGTCCCATCTCCATTTCCCCCCCCCCCTCCAGGACAGGTGGCTCTGCTGCCTATTTTCCCGGCCCCTCCCTGCCCACGGAAAGCAGGGCACTGAGGGAGGGGATTCCGGGCACATGCCACCCGCCCACTTCTCATGCCTCAGCTTCCTTGCTAGGCTGGGGCCCCAGTTTTTGACATTTGATGCCTGCGTCTTGTGTAGCCGGCGTTCTCCAAGGCTGAGTTGAGGTCCCTTTTCTTCCAAACCCAGAGAAGGGGCCACCTGTCTCCCTCCTCCATCTGTTTGGCCATCCTTAATTCAAGATGGCAGAAATCTCCACTATCCCAAGGGCGTGGTGCCCAGGGGCTCGAAAAAGAGATCCGTTAGGGCGGTCAGATTTTAAAACATGCCCTTTGCAATTCAGGCCAGCCTCTTCCCCTGGCCAAGCCTTTGCGAGATTAGCTGGCGTCTCCTTTGCTTTTCCAACTGCTAGGCTGGGTCATGCCCTGTTCGGGGAATGTGTGGACTTTCCTTCTTCTTTTTCTATTCCTATCCCAGTTACGTATTCAGAAAAGATCTGTGATGGGGAAGAGGTTTCATAAAACAAACAACGTACGGAAATGCAAAAAAGGCCCTGTGTTTTTTGCTTCGTTTTGATGGAAAGTATTTATAATGGGGAGCGAGGAGAGAGAGAATGGTGCCAAAAATTTCCAGGGCTGCGCTCTGCCTGGGAACAAGCTGTACATTAAAATATGTACAAGTTTTTCAAGGAGGAAAGGAAGGGATGAAGGCGTGCGCTTCGAAATCAGGGGTGGGAAAAGAGGGACTGCGGACCAGCGGGCAGTTTTTTGCTTTGCAAATCTTGCAGTTCTTTCAATTAGCAAGCATGGAAAGAGGAGAAAGGAACATGCCGGCTGTAGTATTATTCCTTTATAAATATCCTTAGAAAATAAAAAATTGAGGGCGACTTTAGCCCTGTGCTTTGTCCATTGCTCAGAAGGTAAAAGACAAATTCTGCTGTATAGTGCAATATTAATGCAATATCGGGGTTTTCAATTCAGTGTATAGAATGTGAAGGATATGTGTTTGTGTGTTTATTTTCATAGTCATAATGTACACTGAAGACGGTATTTATTTTCATTGTACAAGGTGCAAGGACAATAAAGTAAAGTAAACGAAACTAAACAAAGGGAAAAAACCTCAGGTGATGGAGAACGGATTCAGGATTGAATAACCAACTTGCTTTCTGTCTAAAATTATATTTTGTGTCCGGCCACACCCTTCCCAATGCTCAATTTGCGAGACTGCTCACTGCAGGACAGCTGTGGGTAGACTTTTATTTAGGCAACTTTGATAAGAGCAGGCTTGCGATCCTCCGGTTAAAAATCAAATCAATACCTAAAGGCAAATTGCATCAAATCCTAACGTGGAACGCGCAAATGCAGACAGATCTTTGGCATCCTTTCTCCAGGGACTGCGTTTCTGAATGGTAGGCGTGAAGGCAGCATGTGGCTGTGGTAGGCGGAGCTCTTCTTAGGGGGAAAGAGATGAACCCATCAGTGAAAAATCAATGGGGTTTTTGCCTCGTTCCGGATCTTATGTGAAGGGAATCTCAATTGGGTTCACGCCAGCAAAGCAGATACCTTCTGATACCTTTCGGGTAGTCTTCAAGGGCAGCCCCACATAGAGCATATTGCAATAGTCTATTCATGGGGGTGGAAGTGAGAGGTGTAGCCATCTCTGATCCATTGGCTCATGCCCATTTCCAGGATCTTCTGTCATTGATCATTAGGCCTTGTAGAAGCTTCTACCTCTAGGACGGTGTTTTTTTCCAGCTTGCCAACTTTCCGGACTCTAACTCCCAGAATTCCCCAGTCAGCTTGGTTGACTGGGGAATTCTGGGAATTGAAGTCCATGTGAAATCCACTCAACCTACGTTCTGTTGATGAGACTTCTCAACCTGGCCCACCTTCTGTTTCTCCTTTCAGGAAATAATTTTTGGGACAATACCATGTAGCTGAGCATGGCCTTACCATCTGGGACATGGGGCAAAGGGCCCACTAGGAATTCTTTCCAGCTTGGAAAAAATGGTTGGACATACCCAAAGGTGCATTGTTTTACTTAGGAGGCAAATGGACTTCCTTGTTTTTCTTTGAAGACATTTCTCTTCTCATCCAAGAAGCTTCTTTGGCTCTGACTGGATGGTGGGGACATACAAAACCTTGGAGAAGGAACCCATCTGTCTTTCTGGGTTGGGTGTCCCAGTTTTGTCTGTGCCTACCTGTCTTGACATCAGAGTGTTTAATGTTGTTTTAGAAGGTGTCCCGAACGGTGAAATAATTAACTCGGGGGGTCTTCAAACTTGACAGCTTTAAGACTTGTGGACTTCAACTCCCAGAATTCCTCCTCCAGTCATGTTAGCTCAGGAATTCTGGGAGTTGAAGTCCACAAGTCTTAAACTTGCCAAGTTGGAAGACCCTTGAATTCACTGAATGGTTCAGCAGAACCATGGTGGAGAGGCTTCTCTTTGGAGCTTCTCTTTGGAGATCTGGGTAGTGTCAAGTTTGGCAGATGAGGCTGAATCTAAAGCATGGCTAATCTAATGAAGAGAAGGACCAGGGGAGACAGGAGAGCAACCTTCCAATATTTGAGGGGCTGCCCCCAAAGAGGAGGAGGGGCTCAAGCCATTCTTCAAGGCACCTGAATAATGCCAGACAAGGAATAATGGATGGAAACTGAACAAGGAGAAGAGATTCAATCGGGAAATAAGGAGGAATTTTGTGACAGGGAGAGCAATCAACCCATGGAATAGCTTTCTTCAGAAGTCGTGGGAGCTTCATTGCTGGAGGCTTTCAAGAAGAGACTAGACTGAAGTGTGGTAGGGTTACCTGCTTGGGCAGGGGGTTGGACTAAATGACCTACAAGGTCCCCCTTCCAACTCTGTTAAAGTACATGTTCAAAGGTTGTCCACCACCACCACAGCTTTCCCTGCCCACTTCTCACAACCTCGCAGAAGTTCCTTCTCCTAATCGCATCCGATAGGTATGGAAATAAGCGGGTCTCACTCAGGCTGACTCACCCCTCCGGTTGGGTTGCTTCCCTTGGAAGGCGGGGAGCCCAGCGGAGATCATCAGACAACAATTTTGGAGGAGATCCAGAGAATTTTGGATCTTAAATTCCACGTCTGCTTTGAATTCCTGTTACCTTAGTGGTGGAGGTGGGGGAAGAGAAGGGAGTATTTGAAAGTATTTAAGAAAAAATACTAGGGGAAATCTTTCCATCTAGGAGAGACGCGAAGAGTGAAAGTTGGAGAAGGAAGAATTTCAAATATAAATAGTCGCTTCGTGAACCTTTTGAAGCTGAAAAAAGGGAGCTACCACCTGGTTCTGAAGTTCTGATGCTTTGCCCCCCCCCCCCCTTATTCTCCCCCCAAGCAAAGGTCCCAGGACTGCTCTTTGGGTGCTCAGCAACACAACCACAGTTACAACCATTTGCAACATCCGGTAGTCACCTC